AAGAGGGAGAATGATTGAGATGAACCAAACCAGGATACATTGTACACATATACGAAAATGTCCCAATGAACTTCCCAGTGTAACTATTATACACCAATAAAGTGTTAAAAAACAAACAAGATAAAAATAAAAAAGGAAGAACACAAGAAAAATTGTATACATATGATAGCATATCTTTCTCCTCATTGGTTTTATAATACATATATGCTTATTGAAGTAAGAATTTCTGGCTGTGGTGGTACATGCCTGTAATCCCAGTGCTCAGCTGGGAGGTTGAGGTAGGAGAATTGTGAGTTTCAGACTAGCCTGGGCTGTGTAGTGAGATCCTGTCTCAAAAAGAAAGAAAGAAAGAAAAAAAAGAATTATAAAACCATTCTACATTCAATAAAGTGATATTTCAGAATAGAGAATGTAAAAGGACCTAAACAGTAACACATTTTACACACTTCATTCTAAGTGTTGAAATGTTGGTTATGGTAGGGAGGTGATCACATTTGTGCTTTGGAAATTTTAATTTTCAGAGAACCAGTATGAAAATTGTACAATGTGATACTTTCCAAAACATCTGACAAGTGAACTAAAAAATGTTCAAGTAACAAACAGGAAAACAAAAAGAAAAAAATAGGAATGAGAAATGAAGAAAACAGACAAAAATAATAAAAAGACAAACTTCAGTTCCTTAAGTTCAACAATTTGCTGGGATGTAAAATGACCTAAATATACAAATTAGAAATCAGATATTTGTAAACTGGATAAAACAGATAAAATAAAACAAAGGGAAAACATGCAAAAGCTGTTTATTACTAACAAAAAATTTAATAAGAAACTAACTTCCTCAAATTATTAGTTAACCTTGTCATTTACACAAATAAAGTAATGGGAAATGAAAGCATGTAAAAGTACATGAGGCAAACATTAGTCTAAAAAGCTTAAGAGTCATGACATTAGCATCAGAGAAGTTACTTAAGAGCAACAAAACAAAGTGAAACAAAACAGAACTACAGATAGCAATTTCATTATGATAAAAGGATTAATAAACTGAATGGCAGAATAATCCCTAAATAAGTGCACTCCAAACAACATAGCCTCCAAACACATGAAGCTGAAACTTATGCACCTGAGAAATGGAGTAAACAAATAAAAATTATAGTTAGGGACTTCAACAACTTTCTCAATAATGGCTTAACCTACTAGATAGAAAAACAGCAAGGATACAAAAATGTGAAAAAAATAAGCAACCAATAGGATATAATTATCATGTACATAGACCATAAAATTGTGGACTATACCTATTTTCTAGGGTCGTTGCCATCTACCAAGATAGATCATATTGTATGCCAAGAATAACTTGCAGTGAGTTTAGAGTTGAAATTATGTTCTCTTACCATACTGGAATCAAACTAGCAATTAACAACAGAAATATCCCTAAAGAAGTGGAAATTAACCAACAGATGTCTAAGTGATCCACTGGCCATTGAGTTAATTGTCCAAAGAAAAGTAAACAAAATGAAATGAAATGAAAATATAGCATCTTAAATATCAAGGAGGCAGTGAAAGTAGTGCCAAAAAAGGAAATTTATGCATTAAATTATTACATTAGAAATAAGGAAGGCCTCTGAATAGTAACCTAAATTCTTACTTCAAGAAACTAGAAAAAAAGAAGAAAATAAACACAAAGAAAGATGGAAGAAAATAATAAAGGTAAGAGCAAAAATCCATGAAATACAAAACGAGAAAACCAAAGAACAAAGTTACTTCTTCAACTTCAATTATAAATGAGTAAGAGCCAACACTTAGGTTCTGACAAGTGTTAGTTTTGCTATTACATGAATTATTGCATAATGTAATCATGCAAACAACAGCAACTAAAGAAAACCCAGTAAAGTTGATTTAATAATCAAGAAATAAGTGGTTACTATTACCCAAAGATAAAAAGGTGGTTCGTGTAAAGTTTCATTCCACACACTCTGTGAATGTGTGGAAGTCACACACACACACACAGCCATACTGAGGTGATGACTACATAGTTCTAATGTGAAAGATTTAAGAATTAGAGCACACCATACCTTATCATCTTATCTGCCTTTGGGGCATCATTACTTTGCAAAATCCAAAATGTGGGCAGTCTTATCATTTATGATCCTTCTTGACTCTCACTGTATACTTCAAATCCACTATTTGTTGAATATTTTGTGTGTAAATATATTGAAATTTAAAATCTAATTAAAATAATTTAAGATGTATACTAATGGATTGTCATTTGAATGGTCATACACACATATGAACGCATTTTTTCCAATATTTATGTGTACTCAAACTATTCTGCATATATTATATATGAGTATAAAAAAGGAAACTATAACCTTGTTTTCCTCTAGATAGCTATACTCTAGATAAGATCATTCTCAAACATTCAAATCTTTTAAAATCTATAGGCATACCTGCTTAAAAAAATTAGGTAGGTAAATCAAGATGTGGTGGTTCATGCCTTTCATCCCAACAGGACTGTGAATTCAGTCATCCCAAGCTACATAGTGAGTTTCAGGTTAGATTGTTCTACACAGAGAAACCCTGCCTGTAAAAGCAAAACTAAATGGAACAAAACAAAAAGTAGATAGAAATACTCTACGACATTTTGTTGCTATCTTAATATTTATTTAAATTACTATTTAATATAAATTGGTAAAGCTATTTTCCTCCCTCTCTCTCCTCCCTCTCCCTCTCCCTCCCTCCCTCCCTTCCTTCTTTCCTTCTTTTGACATGGTTTCACTGTGTAGCCTAAGCTAGGCTGGAACTCACTATCCTCCTACCTCAGCCTTCTAAGTGCTGTGATTACTGTTGGGTACCATCACACCACCCCTGTTTTTTTTTTAGAAACAAAGAATTTTTAGGATGATACTAAAAATTTATCATTGAGAAGGGCATGGACTCAAGCATAAAAATGCCCTAATTTGTTTTCTTCTAGCTACCTATATAGAACTAGTTAAGGGCACAATTATTGGAAAAAATTGCTATGGCCTAAGTGCAAAAGAGTAAGTCAAATCATGGGAGAATAGTCTCTCAGGCACAGATACACCTCTTTTTATTTTGATTTTACTGATTTCTCAGTTTTCCTAACTCTAGAATAAAAACAACAAACAAAAACCCCTCAATATGTAGCATCATGACTATCTATTTAAAAAGCACTTAGTAAAGATTTATATTTTAATTGAATGATAAAAATATTTCAAGATAATAGGACACAAGATTCAATTTACACAATTTTACAGTGGAAATCTCATCTGCCTCTGGGATTGGTGAATTCCCTGTGTTACTTTTCAAATGTATTGTGTTACAGAAACCTATCACTGCTTGAGGGGAGATATCCAACATACACTGCAGCATATGAGTCCAAAGGGCTGAAGAAGTGAGTGTGGCAGTCAATGGCATATGCATTCTGTTGAGAGTCAGTTTTGGACATTCCCGTGTATAGGAATAAACAGCAGGAAAAATGAAGGAGCCCAGGAAGGAAGAGGGGAAGGAATAATCAGAAGACTGGTAAAAAAGAAAAAAGACAAGTTTGCCTAAAGAAAGAAGGAATTTTTAATTGTTTTGAATATTACTGAGGTCAAGTCAGGCAAGGATAAAAATGAAGTGAACATTGGATTTGGACTTCTTTATCATCTTGACAAATAAAATTTCCATGGAATGGAATGTACACACTTCCTGTTGGAGTGGGCTGGTAAGAGGGTGTGATCTGAGAATGTAGAAGTTGTGCAAATAAACAGCACACTGAATAAACTGACTCTTTTTCCTATGGGAGCAGAGAAATGAATCTTTAGTTGGTGGAGAAGGTTTATAATTTTGTAGTCCATTTGTATGCTACAGGACATGATCCTTAGAACCTTAGTGGAGAGGGAAAATTCATACAATGTTATTGAAAAACACCAATTTATTGATATTATATCCTTATTTTATACCCAGAGAAGCTTTTTCATATGGGTTAATCAAGTCATGAAGGTCATTCTAGCTAAAAGCTAGAATTTGAACTAGTGTCTGTGAAGTTTCAAGGGCTAATATCTTTTCTCTATTTTAGCTGTAAAAGGCTAAAAACTGAGGATAATCATGCTCACCCTTCATCCCCTAATATCCAGAAACTGGAATATGTCATCTAATAGAGTAAAAGAGATTTTTGCACATGGCTTTAAGTTAATCATTTTAAGATTAACCCCGTCATCTGGGTGGGCTGAGTCTGATCACAAAGGTCCTTAGAAGGGTAGGAAGAATGTGAGGAGGGGCACTCCACCCAAAGAAGCAGGAGACCTCTATAAGCTGAAAAGGCAGAGATGGGTTCATCTCTCAGAGATTAGTAAAACTATAGCCCTGCCTGTATTTTGATTTTAGCTCAACAAGATTTGTAGAATTCTGACCTTCAGAACTGTCAGATATTTAATTTGTGGCAGTTTGCTATGGCAGAAACTGGAAACAGGACCTAACTTTACAATGTGAGTTAATTATTGGAGGGATGGTGTTTTGCTTCTACGTAAGTAGATCGTGTAATGGTAGGTGCCAACAGAAACATAGAACACATAAGTTAACTTGTATGGTGTTAAAACATTGCTTTACTCAACCATCGTAAAAGGGATGACAATTTTATGTGACTTCCTGGGGACATTTTAGAAAAGTTGCTTTTCTGACTTTCCTATTCTTAAACTCTAGTGGGTGCAGATAGGATCCTTAAAACTGGCCTACATCTTTCCTAGATGCTCCCTATAGCATTTGGTGTGATTTAGGGGAGGTATTAAAGACCTTCTTTGATCTGATTTATATTTTCAAAGACTAATATTTACTCTCTGGCACTAATATGGTCGTCACTATTTATATAGGAAGGTAAATTCCAGATTATACATAAG